AGGGAGACAGAGAGAGCCAGAAACACACAGAGAGAGATTGACAAAAGCAGCGTGGAAGGGGTCCTGCTTGGGGAACAGAAGCGAATGCAAACTTCACTGTAGTCATAAAAACAAACACGGGGGACTTCCAAGAGACCCATTTCCATTGGCCAAGTGATCTAAAGAAGAGACGGGAGGGGGGACCATCAGAGCAGACGAGGGGGGACGAGGGAGGAAGTGGTCATAAAAAATCAATTAGTTCAAACAAGAGACGTGGCAGGCGCAGCGCTCGCAGGAGGCGGCGGGTCGGGGTGGCAGTGAGAGCGAGTGAACTCTTGTGTTTTAGGGCTTGTCCAGGGGTGTCAGGGGGCTCCCCTTGTTTTTTTTTCTCCCTCCTCGTGCCCAGCTTGTCCCTGGTCGTGACAGGATCGCGTTTCAATTTCGTGTGGCGATGTGCTGTAAATAAATTGGGGCGCCTGTGCGCGCTGGCCCTGATTAACCTCCCCTTCGTGCGCCCCGCGCGGGGCTCCAGCTGTCAGGCGCGTAATTGAAAGTTATGAGTCCGCGCTGGGGAACCGGCCGTAATTTAATTACCACAAATATCGCTGGGTTTATGGCGCACCGCTAAATTAAATGCCATTATTCACTGTCTATAATGGAAATCAAAAGGAAATGGAATTAGGCCGCGTGCGCAACGGGGACGGAGGAGTGATCGTTAATGAAGAAATAACTGTCCCAACCAGTGTACCTCGCTTTACTTAGCATATTCCCGGCTAATTGGAATTGATCGCGCGTCACGCCGACGCTGATTGATTAGCGCTTAATGCAGCGGCTAATTCGTCACTTGGATTCTTCATAATCACCCCTCTTCCCATCTCTCTCTCTTTCTCTCTCTGTCGGTCTTTCTGTCTTTCTCTCTTCCTTTTACTTTGTTACACTGAAAGCAAAGTGAACCCCCCTCTTTTCCGGATTTAAACAGGAATTTGTTTTTGAACGAAAGATGAAAAAAATATGCCTGTGCAGAAGCAGAGAGTCTCTCTCTCTCTCTCTCTCTCTCTCCCTCTGTCCCTGTCTCTCTCTTGTACTTTCTTACGCTAAAGGCTAGCGGAATTCTCTTTTCCAGATTTAAACAGGAATTTGCTTTTGAAAGAAAGAGGAAAAATATGCCAATTCAGAGGGAGTCTCCCCCCCCCCCTTTCTGTCTTTCTCTGTGTGTCTCTCTGTCTTTCTCTCTTTTACTTTCTTAAGGTAAAGGCAAACCTCTTTTCCGGATTTAAACAGGAATTTGCTTTTGAAAGCAGGAAAATAATGCCAGTTTAGAGGCAGAATCAGTCTCTCTCACTCACTTTCTTACGCTGAAGGCAAACGGAATCCTCTTTTCCAGATTTAAACAAGAAATTGCTCTTGAAATAATGAGGAAAAATACGCCCGTTTAGGGCAGTCTGTCTCTTCTCTCTCTCTCTTTTCCGTTCTTAGGCTGAAGGCCAACTGAACCTTCTTTTTTCGGATTTAAACAAAAAGTTGTTCTTGAAAGAAGGAGTAAAAAAAAATAGGCCAGTTTAGAGGCTGTGTGTGTGTGTGT